GGTTAAAGAAGAAGTCACAAAAACAACATAAACCTTAAAAAAAAACTTTTATCGCTAAAAAACACATTTTATGCGAACCAACGATGCATAAAAATTAAAGAAAAATACCTTCCTAACCTAACAGGTAATTTTAATGCTGATCATCATTAAAAATAGTATTTTTTTCGTCATTATATCGTCAAATAGTGGAACTAAAAAGTACTTTTATTCTTTTCTTTACGCTTCTTCAAGTTAAAAGTATTTCTTTTTAATATCAGCATATGTGTGTAAGGGAAGAGGCAACAAGTCGAAATGGCAAATTGTAAGCTGAAGTATTCGGTTTGATGATGGAATTGTATTAATGAATATTTCTTGTATGCTATAATGTTGACACTTTCAAAGTTAAGTAATTCATATGATTATTTTTTCATGTACGGTTTATACTTATAATTTTCTATTTCACTTGCTGCTTATGGAAATTTTGTAGGTTGACTTCCAGGTGGTTTATGTGATGATGATATGATTTAGCTTGTATTTTATAATTAAGCTCAGATTCCGTTCAGTTTATATTCAGAAATCTAGAAAGGATATGTCAACAACTAAGTATCTACAAGCTTAGACACCTAGACAACTCTGAGTTCTGGATTAGACGACTTCTGATATCAACAAAGAATCATTTCCCTAGCAAGACTAACTAGCAAATTGCTAGTCTTTCTATTTTACTACTTGCAATTTACTATTAATTATTAAAACAACTTACTATTAGAAAATTACACTCGCTATTCACTAACAAATTACAAGCAAATTACCATGTAAAATGTTTGATCAAATCTTCTTAAGTTCGAATCCTACGAAAAATCATCAAAAAAAGAATTTTTTGCGTCAAAAAAAATTTTGTTCTAAATTTGGCATTTGCCATATACTTCACAAGAGCGCGCAGAAATCACCTTTATAAGGTCGATATAAATTTGTATGTGACTTTCAATTAATTATTTATCTTCCTCAGGTTTGCGTGCGAGTCATGGCCGTTCATCAGTGTTCGACTTAATTAAATTAAGTCTTTTGTTTTTTTATCATAGTGTTAGTGTACTTTAATTAACTTAAAACTAAGTACACACTAATGCTTTTACAATAATTTACACAAATAAGAAAAATCAAAAAAAAAAAACACGTGGAAATCAACGGTTATATTCATTTAAATTTTTTAAAAATTTGCTAGTAAATTACTAGTTAAATTGTAAGCGAATTGACTAGTCAATTACCAAGTGAAAATGCGGGTCTTTGGCGATGATTTGAACTTGGATTTTGACTAGTAAATAGCAAGTAGCAAATGGAAAGTTATCAAGTGAATTACTAGGAAATTACTAGTAAATTTCTGCTAGGGTTTTAGTCATCGATACCAACAGAAACTAAAATAAACCCATTCCTTGTGTCTACAAACCAAAGATCGTTACTCAAATAGCTACTAAAACAAAATTAATCCAAAAGATCCATCCTCTTCCCACCTGGAAGTCAACATGACATTAACATGAAAGCGATAGGAAAAGGCAGAAATAGAGAAACACATTAATGAGCTTTTGAGGAAAATAAAATTGTTTTTGCGTGTGAAATTGCGTGTTTGATGAGTGTATGATACATTTATGTCGTATTTAATAGTTAAGAAAATTGATTTTACTTTGTATAATATTTAATGCGCAACGCTTTACGTTTCTTTTTACTTATCACACCGAATGACATTATGTGTGTGCACCGAGCGAAATATGTTGATAGATTTGGTTTTGTGGAAGGTAATGGATTTTGAGTTTTGAATGATATAATATCAGCGGTGTAACCAAAACTTTAAAGGAAGGGTTGATGATTTTCCAAATGTTCAGCTCATAGCTTCAACACTGATATCTTAACTAGATTAATGAGAAATGAATCTGAATTAACAGATTAAAATCAAAGCGTTGACTTTCTGTGCTGTTGATTTGGGTTCGGTTCTCAGTCAGGAAGTCAGATTTGAGTTATGTCATGATTATATAAGACGAAACCCGATGTAACTAATGAGAATCTTACTTGTTCTCATAAAACAATAGATTAGCAATCCTTTTGAGACCTCTACTCTACATTAATCTAGAAACTAGCTCCTTTTTCCTTCGCAGCCCTACAAGGACAACTTATTTTGCCACGATACCTCTAAATAGCTCTATTTCTTTATATTATTTGACTTTCAAACCGTCTCAACATCACAAACTCACCTGAAAGTAACGATTTAATTGGAAAAGTCTAACAACTTGCTTATCATTACACGCTGAGTGCATTGCCCGGGTTTGTTTATGTCCATATCTTTTTGAACCGCAATATGCTAATAAACTTGGAGTTTCTTCACTTTTAATTATCTTTTTGATGGTTTTCTGAACTCTTTTTTTTGTCTTCTTCTTTAGTTCTTCTTTTATTTGTGAATAATATGTATATATGGCTAGATTGTGTATATGTATTTTTGATATGGAGATATTATCGCGACCATACAAAACTTTCCATGGTAATAAATGAAGTAAAAGGGAGAAAAAAAAACACCAAAAACTCATTAAAATATTCATTCCAAAAAGAGGAAATGCTGGAATATATCAACCATACATGCTTCAATGTCCAGAAAACCGAAACAGATTGAGAATTTCTTTTTTCTTCGTTCAAGTATGTTAAAGTTTATGTTTTGAGGAAACCGCTAAACTAACTTAACGTCAAATGACGATCGTGATGATGATGATGAGGATTCATGGACTTTTAATTGCGCTTTTTTATGAACTGAAAAAAAGAAGATTAAATAATGAATATTATTATGAGATTTATGAATTCTAAGACGGTCTTCATTTAAATTGTCTGGAGATGATTATTTCACTTTATTTATACTAAAAAAATTTATACAAAGTTTTTTTTTGATTACATTTAACTATTTTGAATATTGCTGCTAGAAAAGAATCTCTTAATTATTATTTTTTTTACAGTTTTAGATTGCTGATAATTTTTTAAATTTGCTCATATATATTTTTTGCTTTAACTATCTATCTATAACATATTTAATATTTTTAACATTTCTTAAGACTATTACAATTTATTTAAAAATATCAAATCTATTTTACATTAATTTTAAATTGAATAATTTTTTTTACTTTTAATTTGTTCAAAATATTCGAATTTAAATGTGATTAAAAATTCAAACAAAGTGCAGAGCTTGTATTCAGATTAACAATTCAGTTTTGTTAACAAAAAATATCTATTTTTAATAGAATAAGAAGCTTTGTAGCTATAGAATGAGCCATGTAGTTCAAAAAGAACATAAAATCGCACCCTTGAATATCTAAATTGCTTAGTAACTTTTAAGGTGCGATCGCATTCTTGCACAAATTAAATTTTTGCACATATGTGGCTTGTTAGAATTTTGATTTATTGGACATATTGTTTGATCAAATGATTTGAAGTGATTTTGATATGAAATTAGCAATTTATAGGTTGGAATATAATTTATTAAACTTTAAAAAATTCATGGAAAATTGAAAAATGCCAAAAAATTAAATTTATTTCTTACGATTTTTAATTAATTTATTGAGTGTTCTTTGCCCCAACTACACTAGCTCTTTACTCAATTTGATTATTTTTTCATGTCCAAAACTTCCTTATTATAATTCAAAATATCTTTATTAATTGCTATACTTAATATTGCATCCTTAAAATTGAAAAGTTTGTTTAAAACAAACCAAATAGTACGTGGATCTTACTCATACCAAAACAAATTATCAACTGAATTTAAATAACTCACTCAAGTGTGAAGAGAGAAAGCACGCATTAATCAAGACTTTCACATGATCCTTTTTGTGACAGGCATAAAAATAATCGACAATATAAAATAACATATTAGCAAGAAGCTATGTAATTTGTTCACTTTTTGGTCGCCTTCCATATGCTACAAAGTAGTCTTAATTAATATGTTTCTTCAATTTTTTATGGTTTTATAATTTTAAGTGGAACTTAAGTGATATAATTTTTAATGCCTTAGAAATATTTTAAAAAATTTACACAACAATGTATGTTTAATATTATATTTAAAACCTTAAAATTATAGTATACAATTTACATTTTGATATATTTATTGTCACTTTGTAGTTTGTAGACTTAGAATTGACCTTTGATCAATTCAAATATTAATAAAATCAACAAAAAAATCTTTATTTTAAAAATTTAAAATTTCTTTTTTTCTGAAATTTCAAGTCACGGCGCTAAACTCAAGATTAATTAAAAACTTGTCTTATTCATTTACTATTCAGATTGATGAATTTTGAACAATTAATTTTAATACAACAAAGTAATTTTTTTTTTCATACCCTTAAATCCCATAATAATATACTTTATACTCAAATGCTTTTATTTACAAAGATATTAAAATCGAAAAATAATCAAGAAAAATTTAAAAAAGTCTTTGGCAACAATGCAAAAGGAAATAAGCAGTAACAGCAGCAGTAACAAGAAGAATTATTTATTTTTAATGAAAGAAAAAAAGATTGTTCGATTTTGTCTTTTTTTCTTCATGTTTATCTCATTAACATGCCTAAATCATTCATTTTTAGCACCAATGGTAAAGATACTACTATAATATTCAACACAGACAATAGACGATCATTTTCTGTAGTCAATTTGTAAGAGCTCACGATGACTTCTGTATTTACTGAGCGCAATTTTAGCATTAAAGGTTATAGAAATAATTCATTTTGGGTTTGCAATGAGATTTGAGAGTCAAAGATTTTTTAAAAACTGTAGGTAAAATCTTGCTGACTTTTTTCATTGATTTAAAATTAAATTACACAAAATAACTCTATGGATGTCGAAATATTCAACAAAAACTTTTCGAAGTGGAGAAATCCCCCATTTTGTTTTTGATTTCAGCTTTTCGAAATTCAAATTTAAAATTTCCGTTGCAGTATTTGCAGCTAATAGTAAATCTTTACTAAAATTTGAATTCCTTACGATCAAAGCTTAATTTATTTACTTTAAACATTCAAAAACTGCGCTCAATACACTTCAATCTACATAAATACCACCTCTGAGCTCCTATACTAGCATTTCTTTCATATTTAATTCTATGCATAAATAATCGCACACGTGAAACAATATTTACGTGCTCAAAAAGTACTTTATAGAATTTTTATCTACATTTATTCATAAAGAAGGGTATAAAAAATATAATAAAGAAGCGATAATAACGACATGCGATATGAAAATTATTCCAACTTAGTACATTTTCATTTTGAAAATTATTTACATGAGGAATGAAAAATAATAAGGAGAGAAGTCGGAACAAGAAGAAATAAAAAATTACCAATTGCTACCACACATCATGAAATTTCATGATCATTGATTCATTCTTTCTGATTATTTTTTCTGTGTCGTTTTAAAATTTGCAAATTGGATGTTGCTACAGCTTGTTAGTGGATTATGAGAAGGGCTTAGTAATGAGTTGTGAAATTTGGTCACGGTCTGGTCATTTTTGAGGGGTAACGAAGGTTAATAACCTGCTTATGGACCCCTGCAATCTCTCATATTAGACATAATACCCTCCATCCTCATCTCAGTTACTATAACAAGTTTTCCTCACACCTGCAAGAATATTACTAAAATCATCGTCCTTCAACTGCTCTGGTGTCGAATACGGATCAGTAGCTATTAAGTTCTGCCCTGGATGATGTAATGTAGCACCAATAACAGCATCAATTTTTGTCACCATTGGCTGTACAAGTGTTGCTGTTGTGGCACCAGCACTAATGGTATTTGTAACACCTGTCGTTCCCATCGAATACGATTGATGATAATACTCAGGATTAGTGACATAAAATGTTGTTGGTGATGCGACGGCAGATCCTGTTGGATGTGCAAAATGTGTTGTCGGATGATAGTAGATTGGATTATTTTGATAAGGATCATATTCGGCGGCAGCAGCAATTGCAAAATTATTGTATTTATTTGCCTCAGCCATTTCCTCTTGCATTTGATGCTGTTGTTGTTGCTGTAATGCCGCTGTCTGTTGATCAGAATAATTGATGTGATTCTTATATTGTGATAAATACGATTGATGATGATATGGAGACAATGCGGCAGCAGCTGACGTTGGTGATGACAGGACCAATCGAGTCATATCAGACATCTTATTGCCACTGCTATTATTCTTATTGTCCGGATGATTATTATTGTTTGTATCATTTTTGATTAATTTGTCGTCGATATCGTCAATATTGTTGCTCTTTTGGCCACCGACTTTGTTGTCTTTGTAGGCTTTAAAGCTTTTACTTTCATTTTTGATGTTCATTTCATTCATTTTATTTGATTTATTGCTATTACTATTGTTATTATTGTTATTATTATTATTGTTCTCACTTCCATGCTTATTATTGTTACTGTCATTTATTTTATTGTTATTTCCACTAATATTTTGATTTGACGAATTCTGTGAATAATGTTGAGGATGATGATGCTGATGATGGTGACTAGATGATGTAAGTATACTATTCGTACCCAAATTCTGATGGTCTTGACTTGTTGGCAGTGGGGGAAAGTATGTTCCAGTTACAACATGTCCTTGATCGAGAACACCACGATTACTGCACATAACATACATTCCATTACCCATAGCAGCGATTGTTGTGGAAGGTGTTGATGCTAATGGCATACTATATGCTTGGGATTTAGATTTATCAATTAAATGTTGTTGCTGTTGATGCTGGAGATGTTGGTGATGATTTGACATCTGTTCATCATAGAGACGATCATTGGATGTTCCATAATGACTCTCATATCCACCATTGTCATAACTATAGCGATTTTTATTTGAGTTATTAAATGAAGCGGTTGTTGAAGCTGGCAGTGCCTGCTCATAATCAATTTTTGATGATGTTGAATGGATACTTTCATTCATTTCCATCGGACTCATTTCAGGTGTTGGAACATTTTCCATTTTAAAGCCACTATTCATTTTCTTATTATGAGAATTCGGAGGTGATGGTGATGGTGAAGAAGGAACTGGTGACGTAATTGTACTTCCATCATTATAATACATACCATTATAACTATATGGACTCATTCCACGGTCATATTGAATCTCTGATGACGATGATTGATTGTGAGTTGACGGCGTTGACGATGGTGTACCATTTGACGATAACTGTACCCCGCTGGATGCATTGCTGTTTGAATTATTGTTTGCATTTGATGTATTATTTCCGCTACTGTTGTTACTTTGTGGTCCAGCTCTCGGTTTTGTATGCTTTCGTCTTCTTGGTCGATATTTATAGTTTGGATGTTCAGTCATATGAATAACTCGTAGTCGCTCTGCTTCCTCAACAAATGGACGACGATCTTGTGGCGTTAATGATCGCCACTTTTTGCCTGCAAATTGGATGAGAAAAAGGGAAAATATAAATCATCAATATTCATTAGCACATTATTTGTTAGCTATTTAGAATCTCGTGCATAAGGAGATGAAAATAAAAATAGAGAGGCTCGAATAAGAAGAAAATGTTCGGGTGTGCCACGTGTTTGAATTGCAATACATACTCGTTTGTAATAAATGATGAAAAAATAAGTACTTTTTTAAGTTGAAACGAGTGAAACAGCAGAAAAATAACAAGTAAGGAATGCCCTTTTGGTTGGTGAAGAAGGCGCATTTTTTGTAATGTCATCGTAAAATCTATACTTTACTATTCTACAAAGAAGATTTCTTAAGCTGATTTGATTGCTCGTAGTGACCCATAACCCCCCAAACCGTTCTCAAATTCCATCAACGCTCAATTCATCACCAAAACTGAGGAAGAAGCAACGAGAAAAAATAGCTTTTTGTGCACAAACAGAACCTTTAAAAATGAGCAAAAAGAGCAAATGTAATGAAATAATGAAGAAATATGGGCATCGCAGCAAAAAGCGTGTCGTTTGTTGAATTCAATTTTCCAATATTTTATCGTTTCACGTCTTTTTTTCTCCTCTTTACTTCTCGTCCCTTCCTTTCCTATTACTGAATGTTGTCGCACAAAATCGCATTATATTATGCTCTTTGATCCAATTTAAAATAAGGCAAGAGAGCGAGAAGACCTTTGAATAATGGAAAAGAAAAATAAAAGGTACGAGTTTTTTGTTGTTGTTGCTGTTTCCCTTTCTGACTCACTCGTGTACGGTAGATTTTTAACAAAAGATTTAGTCTCGTGTGTCATTGCAAACTTGCATAATAAGAAGGCAAAAGAGAGATTCTCAAGAAGGCAATTTATATGTGACAAGCTGATTAAGATTATTGATGTGTTTAGATAAGTTGAACGGTGAGATGTTAGAGTAGTTGGATGTGAAGCTTATAAGATTTGCAGAGGTTGTGGATGGGTTGGAAAACTTGTTTCTTGGTTGTTGAACATGTTAGAGGTTTTTGGGTTTGCATTAGAAAGTTTATGATTCACCTATAGTCTAAAATGACCCTCAATCTCGAGCAGCAAGTCAAGTTCTCCTCAAAAGCCATCATTTCAACTTAAATCTCCCGCAAGCTCACATAAAAGCCATCAAAATTCAGCACAATAAACAAATTACTATCAACATCCAACAGCAATACCATAAATAAAATCAAATCATAACGAAAAAAGTAAAGCATCTTAAATGGAAAGACTTGAATGCCTGACTGTGTCACATATTCTTTCATCTTTCTTGAAACAAATAAAATTTACACACCAAAAAATTTCTATGCACGTAGTAAAGATATGACAAACGTAAAGTAAAATTATGTCATACCCGTTGTGATTTCCTGGAAGGAATGATTGAAATCTACATTGCTGCATTGCCAAACTTTTGGTTTCTGTAGGAAATTGAGGAGAGTTTTGTGGAGTAGAATTTAAAATAGAATTTGAACTAGTTTGAGGTGATGCTATGTTGAAGATTTTAAGATTGACGGTATGAATTTGATTCTGAGTATTAAATGAACAGTTTTTGTGTCTTTTTAGCAGCACATAGTTAGCTCCGCAGAAAAAAGAAAGTTGCTGAAGATTGTTTAAATCAGGTTTGAATCCTATTACCTACTAGTCTTGCGTTGTTATTACTAGGAACTGAATTGCACTTTCTTTAAGAGTCTTTTGGCTTTTTAAGGCTCAAATAGGAAGCGTCTTAAGTTCAGAGCACTTAAAAACAAGAGAACAGCAGTAACAACTTTCAAAAAGACAAACAACTTACTCAAAACCTCTCACAAAACATCAAATCATTTTCTCAAAAACCTTCAACCTTAAAAATTATCTTCCAGTTCTAATCTTAATCTCCTCAATCATATGTCGTTTTTGCCAAGGTCGTTATATCAAAAAGCAATACATAGAACTTCACAAACAAGACAAAGAAAAAAAAAAATGAAAATAACAATAATTTGTGTACGTGTAAATCTAGTCAAATTTGGCAACACAAATAATAATCAACATCGAAAAAAGAATTGTTAATATCTGTGTCTTGTAATCTGAGGATGATGAAGATGAAATAGAAGCTTGTTTACCCTTTGTGACCTTTGGAAGTTGAAGTGGAAATATGAAAGAAGGCGAGTTTGGAGGTAAGGATTGAGCAATTGATGAAATTCAGGGAATATTAAGCGAGCTGCAGTTCAGGTTCCAGTTGGAGGTTCCCAAGTAAAGCTATTTCAATAATAATACGAAATACTTTAAGTTAACATTCTGTCAAGTTTATGATCAAGCCTAGATTGCTCAGTCGTAAGAGGATGTGACCAAAAGTTATTATTGCGTGGGTTCGATTCCCACTCGAGACACATTTTCCTTTTTTCTGCTGAATTTTCAATATTGAGTTCAAACCCTTAGATAACTTCTATAATCAATGACATTGCACCTATAACCTGCAAGAACAAGCTATTAACCTCAAAACTGCAACGTGATACCAACAAGTTTTAATATCATCAAAAACCAGCCACGCTAAACATTCAAATTTATCATCATAAAGAATATAATTCCTACATTACCCACAAGAAGATGCATTCTTGATATGATACAAGTAATTTATCATCTAATGAACGATCAGTCACACAGCAACAAGTACGATCGTCATTGAATCGTTTCTTGATGAGCACATCAAGCTTGTGGGTTGATAAAAATTATGTTTTTTTTTTTGTGACAGGAAATCATCAAAAATTACTACAAGAAATTATAATATTTATACTTATGAGACAGACATGAGCGGTAATTGTACATTGGGAATAAGAATAAGAAAAAAAAAATATTATAATTTTTGTGTCACACCTTAAAAATATGATTTTTTCTCTCTTTCTTTTCTCGCATTTTGATATGATTAACTTTTATTTTTTATAAGAAATACAGGAATTAAAGAAGATGAAGAAGACAAGACTGTGATCGATAATGTTCCTTTTAATATGTTCAAAAATGTGATGAATGAACGAGAATTTCGTGGAATAAATTAATCACTTTAAGAAGAAATCTAATTTTGTGAATGAAAGTAGAAAAATATTGAGAATTTAGATGAGAGAAAGGTTTATTTTTATTAGCAATAGAATTTATTAATGTTACAGTTATCGTTCATGAGCATAAGCTTAGCGCTGTGTGAAATAAGTTAAATGAGATATAAATTTGTTTTAATGAGTATGGAGACTGCTTTAAATAAGGTCGTAAAACTTATGAGAAAACTTAATTCAGATTGTTTAATGATTGCTAAAGGAGTTGATTTCTTGTGCTTTTAAAAGTATGAGGATGGAAGAATTTGACGTCTCCTTGGCTGGAGCTTAAATTGAAATCGTTCATACTAATCCGTGAAACCAGTTTTTACTGTTATTTGGGGGGGATTTTAAAGCCTTGTGTCAGTAGAACTTTATCTATACTTAAGATAGAGGAGAGTGATTCTTGGTTATAAGGGAGAACAACTCAAAAAATTATAGAAACCAAGTTGATTTAATCAAATTAAGCTCTGACAAAAAACTATTGTTTTAACATACTTGTTTAGGGGTTAATTCAGAGACATTGAGTTGGATGATACTGAAATAAGACGAAGCTTTAATCCTCCCATTTAGACCTTCCTACAAAAACCTTAGCAACCAGCGGTAGATACAACAACTATCAATTAATTCAGCCAATCCGAAAAATTATCCTTAGTCATAATAATCAATTCCACATGTCAAACAGACACTTTCATTTACGACTCCCCCAAAAACAGTCACCAAACCAAACACGAGAGTGACAAATATAAAAACTATTGCCAAAAAAGTAGAAATAGATTAAACGACAACAACAGCGATGAATTAGCATAAGCTTAATAAATTTATACATTGTGCCCTCGTTTCACTCTTGACATTAACTGCGTGCTTATATTTTCTTCATTTTTTTATGAACATAAGTGATAATTTCAAAAAGTTGAGGTATGAAGAAGAACTCCCCACTGACTGCTGATGATGTGGATATCAAAAAAGATTTTTGTAGAGCACATTTCAAGCACTGGGCATATAATATTTATAGTTTCTCTAGACTCTAGCGTTTTGTGGCACAATAATAATTTTTATAATTTTCAAAAAGAGAAGCAGCACTAAAAATAACTACATACATACGAATTTAAAGCAGAAAAAAATCTGGACTGTGGGAATTTTTCATGGGAACTGCTCATTGTTTTCAACAATCCGGGTGAAGTTTTTGTTGTGTGTGTTTTTTGATATTTTTTTTTTCTAGTCGGGTAAATTATTTCATGTTTTTTAAAAAAGCTACTTTTTGTGGGGATTTAAGGTAGGAATTGTTAAAGTTTGATCATTTTGTCTTTGAATATAGTATACAAATAAAATATCAATGTAGCTCTTGAAGAAGAATAAAGAATTTATAATGTTTAAGACTAAGGAGAGATGATGAAAAAGCTAAAGCACTTTGAAAGCTCAACTCCCAAGGTGCAGTTCATTAAACTTAGTGTTTAATATGAATGTAATGAGTTCGAATCCCACAACAAATTTTGATCAGAATACATCTATAAAATCTATTCAAAATTTGCAAAAAAACATAATTAAAAAATGCGCTTCAAAACTCAACCCCAAAATTTTCTAACTTGCTGTATATATTTCGTGCCTTATTTATTAAGGGTACTACACGCAAACATTCTTGCAACATTTTAACATACTCAACAAACATTTTATGTACACATATTCCATTTACTTCCAACTATTTCTGCCCCATCTGATTCATTCACCTGACTTACATGAAATAAATTCATAAATTAATTGTAATTATGCTGATGTATTCTCCTCTTGAGCATTAAATTTCTTACAACCATCGAGGAGAAAAAGAAGAAAATAATGTAAAAGTAATAATAATTTTTAATATGGGAAAAAAAATGTGAAATCTGAACCGAAATCAACAAAACTAACTGGATTAGGGTAATTT